GTGCTGTGTTAGGTGTGTATGAGGTGTGGTGCTGTGTGAGGTGGGGTGTAGTAGTGAGGTGGGGTGCTGTGTTAGGTGTGTATGAGGTGGTGGTGCTGTGTTAGGTGTGTGTATGGAGGTGGTGGTGCTGTGTTAGGGTGTATGAGGAGGTGGTGGTGCTGGGTTAGGTGTATGAGGTGGTGGTGCTGTGTAGGGGTATGAGGTGGTGTGCTGTGTTAGGTGGGTGTGAGGTGGTGGTGCTGTTAGGTGTGTATGAGGTGGTGGTGATGTGTTAGGTGTGTGTATGAGGGGTGGTGGTGCTGTGTTAGGTGTGTGTAAGGAGGTGGTGTGTGTTAGGTGTGTGTATGAGGTGGTGGTGCTGTGTTAGGTGTATGAGTAGCGTTAGGGTGTGTGTATGAGGTGGTGGTGCTGTGTTAGGTGTGTGTATGAGGGTGGTGCTGTGTTAGGTGGGTGTGAGGTGGTGGTGCTGTGTTGGGTGTGTGTGGTGGTGGTGCTGTGTTGGGTGTGTGTATGGGGTGGTGGTGCTGTGGGGTGGGTGTGTGAGGTGGTGGTGCTGTGTTGGTGGGTGTATGGTGGGTGGTGATGTGTTGGGTGTGTGTGTATGAGGTGGTGGTGCTGTGTGGGTGGGTGTATGAGGTGGTGGTGCTGTGTTAGGTGTGTGTATGAGGTGGTGGTGCTGTGTTAGGTGGGTGTATGGTGGTGGTGCTGTGTTAGGTGGGTGTATGGTGGTGGTGCTGGTGGGGTGTGTGTATGGTGGTGGTGCTGTGTTGGGTGTGTGTATGAGGTGGTGGTGCTGTGTTAGGTGGGTGTATGAGGTGGTGGTGCTGTGTTAGGTGGGTGTATGAGGTGGTGGTGCTGTGTTAGGTGTGTGTATGAGGTGGTGGTGCTGTGTTAGGTGGGTGTTTAAATGTTAATATAATGACACATACTAAAATACCCTCGTTAGGCTATACCCATGAACGAGAGACTGTACTACTCTTAGTCACAAGCTCCAGACAACAACAGCGAGTGCCTGATAAAGATCAAAGTAAATCATGATGGAATGTGATTTTTGCCGAGAAACTGTGACGACACTAGCAGGCGAGGTATGCTGGGCGACACCCCTTTATTTATGATAGATTACTGAAAGTTGGGAGAGACTATTGCAGTGAACCCAAATTTTATTAACCACAAAAACGATGATGATGATGATAATAATTATAATAGAAATAGTAATAACCATAGTAGTAGTAGTAGTAGTAGTAGTAGTAGTAGTAGTAGTAGTAGTAGTAGTAGTAGTAGTAGTAGTAGTAGTAGTAGTAGTCAATAAAATAAACGTACAAACTAACACCAACATAACTCAACATAAACTAAATAAAGACACACACACATGTATATCACCTGCGGGGAGTCAAGTTACCAGAACATTAAAATTCATCAGATTGACTCTTAACACACATAAAAACTAAATTGTAGTTTATCAGGCGACATCGTGTGTGTGTGTGTGTGTGTGTGTGTGTGTGTGTGTGTGTGTGTTTTGGGTTACATATCATATCAGCCGTGTGTCATACCTGGATCTCTACCTATCATTAAACACCAGCGGTAAACATCACAGGTAAACATCACAGGTATACAGCTCCACCGTCCTGGCCTTACCGAACATGTGGCAGCGTCGGAATCAAAGTCGAACCTTCTTGACACCTATTTCTGTTTCACCACAAATCTCTAGTAGAAATATTACCGAAAAAAAATGTATTACTGGTCAAATATTACCCTAAAAAAATATTATTGGCCAAATATTACTCAAAAAACATATTGTTGGCCAAATATTACTCAAAAACATATTGTTGGCCAAATATTACTCAAAAACATATTGTTGGCCAAATATTACTCAAAAAACATATTATTGGCCATATGTTCGTAAAGACCACTATACTGTACCATTATAACTGTGGGCGACTATGTTAACTCCGAGCCTCTTGTTAACAATAAGCAAAATGTTTAATGAAATGTTCATTATGTTTATTTATCGTAATGTTTCCGGGAATTGAATAACTGATAAGGACTGAATTAATGTGTATATAAGTAAGAAAGTATGTTAGTACGTTATAGTAGTAAGTAAGTAAGTTAGTATGTTAGTAGTAGGTAAGTAAGTAGTTAAGTAATTAAGTATATAATTAAATCGTGTATATTATGATTTAAGTAAATTGTTCTGGATTACCGACAAATTAAATCTTTTTATACAGGAAACCAATTTCTGCAACACGCTTTTCTTTTCATGAGATTTTCAACATTTTGGTATACCACACCACAACCACCACGACCTTACACTATATCACAACACACCACGACCTTACACTATATCACAACACACCACGACCTTACACTATACCACACCATACGACCTTACACTATATCACTACACACCACGACCTTACACTATACCACAACCTTACACTAAATCACAACACACCATGACCTTACACTATAACACAACACACCATGACCTTACACTATACCACAACCTTACACTAAATCACAACACACCATGACCTTACACTATATCACAACACACCATGACCTTACACTATATCACAACACACCACGACCTTACACTATACCACACCATATCACACCACTAACCACTACAAATACCACACCAGGCCGTACACCATACCACACACACCCACACCACCACCACATCACACCATACCACATACCAATACAACACAAACTATTTTCACCAGTGTTAAAACAAGAACATGGCCATATCACCCAACTCCACTCTAACAGTCGTACACATCCTGGCCATAAGGTTTTATTATCGAGATGAACCTGATGAAATGGCCAATGTATGGACCTGATGAGATGGCCACTGTATGGACCTGATGAGATGGCCACTGTATGGACCTGATGAGATGGCCACTGTATGGACCTGATGAGATGGCCACTGTATGGACCTGATGAAATGGCCAATGTATGGAACTGATGAAATGGCCAATGTATGGACCTGATGAGATGGCCACTGTATGGACCTGATGAAATGGCCAATGTATGAACCTGATGAAATGGCCAATGTATGAACCTGATGAGATGGCCACTGTATAAACCTAATGAAATGGCCACTGTATGGACCTGATAAGATGGCCACTGTCAACATAATCGTGTCGACTCGTTGTCATCCACTGAGACGAGTAAACACGCTCACGGGTTCCAGGGTTTTCCACACGCGTTAAATTGTTCACTGAAACAAGTCGACTATGTGATAACTTTTTCTGTGTGACAATAGCAAAATATAATTCCATTTACTGCAGTGTTTAAGTAATTAGATCGTTAATTAAATAAATAAGATCGTTTTTTTGGAAGGGTAATAGTTTGCATCACACACTGTTAAACTATTCTCAACAGGTTTTCCTCGAGTGTAAAATTTGTTTATTGCCTTCACATTCGGACGCATCCGTTGTTCATTATGATGTATTAGTCTTGTTTATCAGGTTCTGACGCCTCCACTCTGGCTGTTCAATAATGACATATAATAAAATACTGTTTTATTTTGTACACTCTTCATTGTCAATATGGAATAAAATATAATAATACAAAACCCCGTCACTGAAATAGTTACCCCACACAGCAGAAAGTAATCGATTTATATATGAAATCCTGAACACGATTTTTTTTTCTCAATTGTTTTCCTCCCGACAGTTGACACACCCAAGAGGTAAAGAACACACCGTTTGTCATTAAGTGAGAATATATCAACAAATGTTTAACAAAAAGTATATTAAAGTTATATCTAAGACAAACAATACTAGAGATATACTTCACTAATTCACTAAGGAGTATTAAAGAGTAACTGGAGATATATTCACGTAAAGGACAACACTGTTTATCATTATTAAGTAAATTATCGGCCAAGATGAACTCATTAAGCGTTACCCAACACTAAGATGATAGTGTTACTTCCTCGTCTGCAAGGTTTATGGTCTTTTGTATTGTTAAATGGTCTGGAAAATATATAAGGGGTCTCAGAAGAATGTTCCTCCCTCCTCCTCCCTGAGACAGTGAGTTGGAGGGAGGGAGGGAGGGAGGGAGGGAGCAGGGAGGGAGGAAGCAGGCAGGGAGGGAAGCAGGGAGCAGGGAGTGAGGCAGATGCATTTTTCTTGGACGTCCTATATACCTGGGATGCGACTCCAAAGCAATAATTAATGACAACTCACCTGCGGTTCATCGTTCATTCTCAGATAACAGTTCACAACCAGCCAATTAAGTGATAAGATAACTAATTAAATCAGTGAATTAATATAATGGGAATAAATAAACGAGTGACAGACAATATCTTGGTTATAAAAATCTTCAACTCATAAATAAAGAGCGAATTAACGAGAACTGTAACGAACAAGAACTGCTCAACCATGATAAGTAAATGACATAACATGAAGCCAATGTTCCGCTTCATTTGCATACAGTGATTAAATACTTTCAGATGAAGAACTATACACATATTTTCCACTTTAGTTTGAACTTATTCCAGACGAGGATGAACTATATTCAATAATTATGTAACTACCTAAGATACATAATATATATCATTAACATTCTGATAAAACACACACACACACACACACACACACACACACACACACACACACACACACACACACACACTAAATGTTGATTGTCAGACAGGATAAACTTGTATAAAGAGACGATCAATTAATGAGACAGGTGTGACATGGTTGGTAATGAGGCTAAACATCTTTTGGTTTTTACCTGTACATGACACACTGGTGGAGTCTGCTCTCTCTCTCTCTCTCTCTCTCTCTCTCTCTCTCTCTCTCTCTCTCTCTCTCTCACATACACACACACACAAGAGCTGCCAAAGGTCACTCACAGGTTGACAAGGGTCGGAGGTCAAACTTCCTGACACTTTGAGAAAAAAAAAATTAAGTCATCCTCACGAGTGTTAAGTCTTGTAAATCTGACCTTTATGGAGGGTGTGCCAAGTGCCGCAGTAAACTTACAGCTCTCCCAAAGTCGTCAACGGTTCAACTTGTACGATAAACTCGACTAATGTTAAGAGTGTCGGCAGTCCGTCAGCAGGTTCGTGAGGGCCGTGACGAAGCTGGATGAAACACGTCCCTTCCTGCCTTATAATACAACGAGTCACCTCAGGGGTCACCAGCCTGCCCAGGAGGTGCTGGTCTTCGTGTCCGGCCCAGGAGGTGCTGGTCCGTCTGCCCCAGGAGGTGCTGGTCTCGTGTCCGGCCCAGGAGGTGCTGGTTCGTGCCCGGCCCAGGAGGTGCTGGTCTCGTGTCCGGCCCCGGAGTGCTGGTCTTCGTCCTCCAGGAGGTGCTGGTCTGTGTCCGGCCCAGGAGGAGGTGCTGGTCTTTGTGTTCCGGCCGAGGAGGTGCTGGTCTTTGTGTCCGGCCGAGGAGGTGCTGGTCTTGTGTCCGGCCCAGGAGGTGCTGGTCTTTGTGTCCGGCCCAGGAGGTGCTGGTCTTTGTGTCCGGCCGAGGAGGTGCTGGTCTTGGTGTCCGGCCCAGGAGGTGCTGGTCTTCGTGTCCGCCGAGGAGGTGCTGGTCTTTGTGTCCGGCCCAGGAGGTGCTGGTCTTTGTGTCCGGCCGAGGAGGTGCTGGTCTTCGTGTCCGGCCCAGGAGGTGCTGGTCTTTGTGTCCGCCGAGGAGGTGCTGGTCTTCGTGTCCGGCCCAGGAGGTGCTGGTCTTTGTGTCCGGCCAGGAGGTGCTGGTCCTCGTGTCCGGCCCAGGAGGTGCTGGTCTTTGTGTCCAGCCCAGGAGGTGCTGGTCTTCGTGTCCGGCCCAGGAGGTGCTGGTCTTCGTGTCCGGCCCGGAGGTGCTGGTCTTTGTGTCCGGCCCAGGAGGTGCTGGTTCGTGTCCGGCCCCGGAGGTGCTGGTCTTTGTGTCCGGCCCAGGAGGTGCTGGTCTTGTGTCCGGGCCAGGAGGTGCTGGTCTTGTGTCCGGCCCCGGAGGGTACTGGTCTTCGTGTCCGGCCCAGGAGGTGCTGGTCTTTGTGTCCGGCCCGGAGGTACTGGTCTCGTGTCCGGCCCAGGAGGCTGGTCTTGTGTCCGGCCCAGGAGGTGCTGGTCTTTGTGTCCGGCCCAGGAGGTGCTGGTCTTCGTGTCCGCCCGAGGTGCTGGTCTTTGTGTCCGGTCCAGGAGGTGCTGGTCTTCCTGTCCGGCCCCGGAGGTGCTGGTCTTGTGTCCGGCCCAGGAGGTGCTGGTCTTTGTGTCCGGCCCAGGAGGTGCTGGTCTGTGTCCGGCCCAGGAGGTGCTGGTCTTTGTGTCCGGCCCAGGAGGTGGCTCTTCGTGTCCGGCCCCGAGGTGCTGGTCTTGTGTCCGGCCCAGGAGGTGCTGGTCTCGTGTCCGGCCCAGGAGGTGCTGGTTCGTGTCCGCCCAGGAGGTGCTGGTCTCGTGTCCGGCCGAGGAGGTGCTGGTCTCGTGTCCGGCCGAGGAGGTGCTGGTCTCGTGTCCGGCCGAGGAGGTGCTGGTCTCGTGTCCGGCCGAGGAGGTGCTGGTCTCGTGTCCGGCCCAGGAGGTGCTGGTCTTCGTGTCCGGCCCAGGAGGTGCTGGTGTTCGTGTCCGGCCGAGGAGGTGCTGGTCTCGTGTCCGGCCCAGGAGGTGCTGGTCTCGTGTCCGGCCCAGGAGGTGCTGGTCTTCGTGTCCGGCCGAGGAGGTGCTGGTCTTCGTGTCCGGCCGAGGAGGTGCTGGTCTCGTGTCCGGCCGAGGAGGTGCTGGTCTTTGTGTCCGGCCCAGGAGGTGCTGGTCTTCGTGTCCGGCCCAGGAGGTGCTGGTCTTCGTGTCCGGCCGAGGAGGTGCTGGTTTTGTGTCCGGCCCAGGAGGTGCTGGTCTTCGGGCCCAGCGAGGTGCTGGTCTTCGTGTCCGGCCGAGGAGGTGCTGGTCTTCGTGTCCGGCCCAGGAGGTGCTGGTCTCGTGTCCGGCCGAGGAGGTGCTGGTCTCGTGTCCGGCCGAGGAGGTGCTGGTCCGGTGTCCGGCCCAGGAGGTGCTGGTCTCGTGTCCGGCCCAGGAGGTGCTGGTCTCGTGTCCGGCCCAGGAGGTGCTGGTCTCCGTGTCCGGCCCAGGAGGTGCTGGTCTCGTGTCCGGCCGAGGAGGTGCTGGTCTCGTGTCCGGCCCAGGAGGTGCTGGTCTTCGTGTCCGGCCGAGGAGGTGCTGGTCTTCGTGTCCGGCCGAGGAGGTGCTGGTCTTCGTGTCCGGCCCAGGAGGTGCTGGTCTTCGTGTCCGGCCCAGGAAGTGCTGGTCTCGTGTCCGGCCCAGGAGGTGCTGGCTGTGTCCGCCCAGGAGGTGCTGGTTTTCGTGTCCGCCCAGGAGGTGCTGGTCTTCGTGTCCGGGCCCAGGAGGTGCTGGTCTCGTGTCCGGCCCAGGGTGCTGGTCTCGTGTCGGCCCAGGAGGTGCTGGTCTCGTGTCCGGCCGAGGAGGTGCTGGTCTTCGTCCGGCCGAGGAGGTGCTGGTCTTGTGTCCGGCCCAGGAGGTGCTGGTCTCGTGTCCGGCCCAGGAGGTGCTGGTCTTGTGTCCGGCCACGAGGTGCTGGTCTTGTGTCCGCCAGGAGGTGCTGGTCTTTGTGTCCGGCCCCGGAGGTACTGGTCTTCGTGTCCGGCCCAGAGGTGCTGGTCTTGTGTCCGCCCAGGAGGTGCTGGTCTTTGTGTCCGGCCCAGGAGGTGCTGGTCTTCGTGCCGCCCAGGAGGGTGGTCTTGTGTCCGTCCAGGAGGTGCTGGTCTGTGTCCGGCCCCGGTGCTGGTCTTTGGGCCCAGGAGGTGCTGGTCTTGTGTCCGGCCCAGGAGGTGCTGGTCTTCGTGTCCGGCCCAGGAGGTGCTGGTCTTGTGTCCGGCCCAGGAGGTGCTGGTCCTGTGTCCAGCCCCGGAGGTGCTGGTCTTGTGTCCGGCCCAGGAGGTGCTGGTCTTCGTGTCCGGCCCAGGAGGTGCTGGTCTCGTGTCCGGCCCAGGAGGTGCTGGTCTTCGGTCCGCCGAGGAGGTGCTGGTCTTCGTCCGGCCGAGGAGGTGCTGGTCTTGGTGTCCGGCCGAGGAGGTGCTGTTCGTGTCCGGCCGAGAAGTTGGTCTCGTGCCCGGCCCAGGAGGTGCTGGTCTTCGTGTCCGGCCCAGGGTGCTGGTTCGTGTCCGGCCGAGGAGGTGCTGGTTCGTGTCCGGCCCAGGAGGTGCTGGTCTCGTGTCCGCCGAGGAGGTACTGGTCTTCGTGTCCGGCCGAGGAGGTGCTGGTCTCGTGTCCGCCGAGGAGGTGCTGGTCTTCGTGTCCGGCCGAGGAGGTGCTGGTCTTTGTGTCCGCCCAGGAGGTGCTGGTCTTCGTGTCCGGCCCAGGAGGTGCTGGTCTCGTGTCCGGCCGAGGAGGTGCTGGTTTTCGTGTCCGGCCCAGGAGGTGCTGGTCTCGTGTCCGGCCGAGGAGGTGCGGTCTTCGTGTCCGGCCGAGGAGGTGCTGGTCTTCGTGTCCGGCCCAGGAGGTGCTGGCTCTGCGTCCGGCCGAGGAGGTTGGTCTTCGTGTCCAGCCGAGGAGGTGCTGGTCTTCGTGTCCGGCCCAGGAGGTGCTGGTCTTCGTGTCCGGCCCAGGAGGTGCTGGTCTTCGTGTCCGGCCCAGGAGGTGCTGGTCTGTGTCCGGCCCAGGAGGTGCTGGTCTCGTGTCCGGCCCAGGAGGTGCTGGTCTCGTCCGGCCCAGGAGGTGCTGTCTCGTGTCCGGCCGAGGAGGTGCTGGTCTCGTGTCCGGCCCAGGAGGTGCTGGTCTCGTGTCCGGCCGAGGAGGTGCTGGTCTTCGTGTCCGGCCGAGGAGGTGCTGGTCTCGGTGTCCGGCCCAGGAGGTGCTGGTCTCGTGTCCGGCCCAGGAGGTGCTGGTCTCGTGTCCGGCCCAGGAGGTGCTGGTCTCGTGTCCGGCCCAGGAGGTGCTGGTCTCGTCCGGCCCAGGAGGTGCTGGTCTTCGTGTCCGGCCCAGGAGGTGCTGGTCTTCGTGTCCGGCCCAGGTGCTGGTCTTCGTGTCCGGCCCAGGAGGTGCTGGTCTGTGTCCGGCCGAGGAGGTGCTGGTCTTCGTGTCCGGCCCAGGAGGTGCTGGTCTCGTGTCCGGCCCAGGAGGTGCTGGTCTTCGTGTCCGGCCCAGGAGGTGCTGCTCGTCGTATAGTTCACCTGTGATTAACCTGATGTAATTACTCGTGATATATTACTTATATTTCCTCATCAGTGAATACAACGAAACATTATAAATAAAAATATATAATAAATACAAAGGCAAGGGTACAACTGGTGGCGGTGGTAAATGGTACTGCCCAGGATGGGCCAATAGACCCGATGCAGTTTCCATTCTTATGTTCTATGTATATTTTCGTCTCTCTCTCTCTCTCTCTATCGCCATCTGTTCCTTTTCCTTAACCTCCCACCCCGCTTTTTTCACTCATCATTTGCTCATCCACAGAGAGAGAGAGAGAGAGAGAGAGAGAGAGGGGGGGACATTAGACTGCCAAAGCAGCTACTTTACAGTCACTTAACGAATAGTAAACGTAACGCTGGAGGGTAATATAAAGGAATAAGCATAGTCTTAAGAAAAACCCGAAAAACGCCAAATGGACCCCTCACTTGGGAGACGATTACTCCACACCGTAACGTTCGGAGGAACACCACAAAAGGTGTCAATATTTTCGAGTTAGCCCGACTGCATACCGAGGCAGACAACCGCCAACGCCGGAAAAACC